CTGGATTCTTTCAATTTGCTTTCTCGCTCATGGGCCGTTATAGCTGGTTTTCCAAGCATTGTCATGTATCCTCCGAGTGCAAAGACCAAAGATAAGGTCGATAAAAAGCACATTATCTACATGGTCACAAGAATCACACAAGCATTCGCCGTGTACCCGGACCGCCCCGAGCTGATCAACCAGAGCTCCTTGTTCAAGGTTGAAGGAACTATTAAAGACGAGCAGGTACGTATTGCTGGCCATATGTCATAAATATATACTCTAATTTGCCATACAGGTTTATCCTACGACTAATAGCAGAGGGTCTGGACCACAAGAAGGCTATGCCTTGATCATTCCGGAAATAAACCCTGGAAAAACAGGATCTCTTGAAATGATCAAATGGTTGATCGGTTCGTGACTCTATCGCGTTCTGCAGTTTGATCATTAACCCCTCTCCAGCAATCCATGATGCGTTCGCCCTGTATGGACGACCAGAGAACTATTCATGGGATCCCCGGGACCCCAGATCCGTATTCTTCACATACCCCTATGGTCCATATAGAGATGTGAGTATTTTGCACTGATTAGCGCTATAGGATACTGATTCACTACCCCCTAGCACCTCTTCTTGGATCGTGAACTCGCTGAAGTTCTTGATCCTCGAATCTATGAAACTTCCCAAGTCAGAGGATCGTTGATGAATATCTTGATTCAACGTATGCGAGGTCCCAGTCCGGAATCCCAACAACCCCAGCTGCAACAACAACAACAGCAACGCCAAGGTTCAGGCGGACCTTCGTTGCCACCGCTCAACTTTGACGGTGCCCAACCAGATCATAGTCAAGGACGCAGTATGCTTTCCACCATCCGCGAGCAAAGCACCTTCAGTACTGATAACCGAATGGATGCTCCAGGTGCTAATCCCATGCAGAATGGCGTCCATAACCAGAACAACCCTCCACAACCTTTGGGTGCTCAAAATGCTCGTCCACAAGAGATAAATCGGCCACCAACGGCGCCTGGTCAAGATACCAGCGCCCCTCACTCTCCGGGTTCCTTTTCACAGACTTCTGCCAGGCAAGCCGCGGGTCAAATGGGCCAAAGAGGAAATGACGGGAGAACATGGTCTCCGACTCCTTCAAACAGCAGTGGCCGTCCTCAAATTACGATTCCTGGCTCCCAACCTCCTCCAAATATGGCCGTAAATAACGCCCAAAGAACCGGATCGCCACTTTCGGTGGTCAATGGCAATCAACAGAGGCAAGATCCTTCCAGGGTCGATACGCCAAATCACCAGCATCTTCCTTCCATACCTTCGATGCGGACGCCACCGGCCGCTGGTGTCGCCAATCCCATGGAAGCCTCCCATCCTGGGCCTAACGGGATTTCCATGCAACAATCAACTAGCTGGAATAACGCGCCTGTTACATCTGCACCTGCCAATACAAGGCCCAACGGTCCGCCGGCCTCTCAGGTATTTGTTTCTTCTGCCATCTTCTTTCATTATACTGAAATCCATCGATAGCCGAACCAACCTACGTCACATCTCCAACCTTCTCAGCCTCAAGAACAAAGGAACAGCCAAATATACAATGAAGAAGGCGCATTGTATATGCTTTCGCAGATGGATGAGCCGCCAGAAGTGTCGCCCCTTCAAAACTTGCCCCCTCAGCCTTTGCCTCCTAGATTAGCTGCACTTGAGAGGCATAGAGCTAATTCGGGAAGCATTGATGATGCGGAACCGTCCCCTTTTGCTAGCACAAGTAATACAAATTCGCCGTTCGCTAGCACCGGAAGTTTCGCGGCGGCCGGTGCCATGGCACCTCACCCTAACGCATTCTCCAATGCATTTGCGAGCGGAAGCGGCAACGTTAATGCAACCAGAAACACACCGACCGTAAGCGAAGGCTTGGCAAGGATGACATCTGAATACGATCGTGCACCTCAAGGGCAAACAAAAATAGTTCAGTCCCAAAAATCTACTTCCTCCTTACCTCGACCAGCGGACCAATCTTCAATGAACGCAACAAATAATTTAGGCCCTCCTCGCAATGAGAGTCCGATAGCACGAGCCACTGTTACTGCTTCACCTCTACCTCTGAGCGCGAAGCCCGCGGAGGAAACGGAAGACGTTCTGCATAACGCAGATGCTTTAGCGGCACTCACCTTTGCGGAATCTCCTGATCTACCGGAGGTTGCTCCCGCCGCCAAACCTTCCCCCGCTACCAAACTTCCCCCGCCCA